GTTTTTGTTGTAATAACCCTGTCGGTATTTCCTGATCACCTGATTTCTCAGACCTCTCGCATTTTCCACTGAGGCAGAATAAAATAAGAACTTTTCGAAGCTTACGCCTAAAGATGAAGTGAGACACCTGCTTAATGTCTTCCTTGTGGTTCTGTTCACGACTCACTAACAAATGTGGTAAGTTGAAGGAGGCTACCAACAGTGGCGCTCCCAGGATTTCAGTCTCGGAGGGGTAAAATGGAAAGTAAATTCTCAGTGTGACGTACTGAAGTGTTATAATGATTTAACATTAAAAGCAGATATATGAATTTGTTACAGTCATTTCTGTAGAAAATACATACAACCTTTTTAAATTTTGAATTATACAAAATCAAAGTATAAATAAAGCAAACCAAGCTCGAGCAATCTTCATATAATAAAACAAAAATGCAAAATAATATAAACTATCACAGACTTTTCTAAATAGCAATGTCAGACAAAACAAGTATAAAACTGAATGCACATAGTAAAATTCTTAATCATGAGTAAAACACAAAAAATATTCATTACATAACAAGATTCTCTTAGCCAGTCTCACAGCCTCAAAATAAAACAATCATTACATTAGCGTAGAAAGTGATTTGAACACAATTTGAACAGGCTTAGGTTTATAAAGGAACCTATCGATAGTATTCTGTTTCCTTTTACTCATCCTGACAACAGCAGCTTTCAACCAGCACCAGAAGTTACACAAATATTGTCAAATAAACGGCATTATTGGTTTCCACGCATTCACGTATACCATAATAAAGAACCTTTTCTGTTTGGCAAACAAGATTTCATAAGTTCACGCAGTTTTCAAAAACTAAATATATAATTTGCCATTTCGGACGAACGAAACGCACTGAAGTGCTTATATACAGGGACTTCCGAGATAAAATAGACATAGATGATAAAAAAGTTTAAAAAGGATTAAAGTTTGATCACATACACTGAGTTCAAAGACTTAAGGACCAAAATTAAGCGCGATGAGCGTAACGCATATCAAAAATATCTAGTAGATATCTAAAGTAGCCTATCTCAGGATCCGAACAATTTCTGGTCATTTATCTGTAATAAAAGGGGACAAAATTCCACAATCAGCCAAGTAAACTATAATGGTAAGCAGTATGACAAACCCAATGAAATTGCTTATGCACTATTTTTTCAATCTGTATATACTATGCCCTCGAACGCAACTGATATCAATATTTCGGACTTGCATACTAACATAATACTTCAGAGCTTTTCCGAAGAAGAAGTTTTTGCTGTGTTAAAGCAAATGAAAAATAAATTTACCTCCGGATCCGATGGAATCCCATCATTTTTAGTGTGTGACTGTGCCTACGTCTTAGCTCATCCCTTGACAAATATCTTCAACCTATGTTAAAAACTCACACGTTTCCTGAAATTTGGGGCGAATCAAAGGTGCGTCCCATTTTCAAGAAGGGTGATAGACTACAGGTTGAAAATTATTAACCGATAACCCTAGTATGTATCTTTTCCAAGGCCTTAGAAACTTTGCTTCATAATTTCCTATACCACAATACACATTCCTAAATAAGTACTTCTCAGCATGGCTTTATGAAGGGTAGATCAACCATAACTAACCTAGCCTGTTTTACTCAGCACCTCTGCATTAGATGCTAATAGCCAGGTGGATGTAATTTATACAGATTTTAGTAAAGCATTTGACAAACTTGATCACAGTATTCTGTTAACGAAGCTGAGCTATTTTGGATTCTCCCCCAAGCTGTTATCCTTTCTTAAGTCATATCTATCAGGAAGAAAGCAATATGTTGAATATCAGGGTGTCAAATCCATTGAATTCTTCCCAACCTCAGGGGTACCTCAAGGCTCCTGCTTAGGTACTTTGCTTTTCATACTGTTCATAAACGATATTGTTAGCGACATCGACAGCAGCCACTTAATCTATGCTGATGATCTGAAATTTTTTTCCAATGTCGACTGCAGCACTGACTGTGCTCACTTACAAAAAGACCTAGCCAAAATACTTAAATGCTGTAAATCGACTTCCAATTAACTACAGTAAATGTAGTGTTATGTATTACACCAGAAAACTAGATATTATTGCATTTGACTACAGAATTGGCAATCATTCTCTGCTGAGAGTACAAGAATGCAAGGACCTGGGTGTGATTTTTGACATGTCACTTAGCTTGAATCCTCATATTGAGTACCTTATTAATGCTGTCAACAGATTATTAGGTAACAAAGATGCCATGATTATGCTTTATAATTCATTCATACTGTCTAAATTAGAATATGGACGGCTAATATGGAATCCATGCTATGTTACAACTTGTGGTTCTCTGGAGAAGATTCAACGGAAATTTCTGAAATTTCTTTCATTCAAAATTGACGGTAGGTACCCACCCATTGGGGTCCCACAAGAAGACCTGTTACGTAAGCACACGTTTATCAGTCTTGATACCAGAAGAAAGATTCACTCGCTAATATTCCTGCATAAAGTAGTGCATAGCAGTTATGATTGTCCATCATTTCTAGCACAGATTAAATTTAATGCTCCAAAATTTGTTACTCGCAATACACTCACTTTTTACCTACCCTACCCCACGAACTAACTTACTGTTGCACTCACCTTTGTACTCGATGTGTACATGTTATAATAGTCTACAGAGTACATTTGATTTGTTCAACACAAGTATTTCGAATATTAAGAGAGTTTGCAGTGAAATGATTTAGTTTTTAGTTTTCGTTGTATTTTTATATATTTTTTTTACTATTTCTATTGCTGTTTTGCAACCAGTAATTGGTTAACACTGTTGGTGGTGGATTTCAATAAATAAATAAATAAATAAATAATGCAGCTGGGGTATGGACTAAACACTTCGTAATTGAAATTATATTAAATTTCCATTTTTTCATTTTTTAGACACGATTCTGTTATGGTATAAAAATTAAAAACAAACAAAAATTGATTTACTGGCTTATGCGTGAAAAATAAAAAATTAATGGAACACAGAAAATAGCGTTAATACCAACCAGATCAACAAAACTGCGCTTGTTCACTGCTCAGCCAAATTTTGTTGCGGACTCCGGACTGGTACAGAAGTTAGACACTAGACTACAACATAAAAGACTAGACTATACCTGTTCCAACAGGAAGAAGCGCACACCGTTGCTGTTGATGGGAGGGTAGTCGCTAGTCGCATGTGCACCGAGCGGGTTGGCAGTGTTGCCGCTATCCTTTCTTAAAGTTACAGATTTTTTTATAAGACGTGTACTTTATACCACCATCTTAAAGCATACTCGAGTCATCTGGAGGGAGGATTATTACCCCCTTTACCCGCCCCCCCGTGGGAGCGCTAGTGTATAGAAATATTTAATCATGGTGGTGCAAAGCAAATCGTCTGCATAAATGAACTTAAACTTGGTGAGGTCTTGTGATATCAAGCGCTGCAAAATAAAGGAGCGATGAATTATAAAACAGCACGTCAAGCGTAATTCAATTAGCGAGCGCATCTAATTAAATTGCAATCGATCGAAACTTCATTAGACAGAATGATGCATAAATTGAATATGCAAAAGTAGATGTCTTATGGGGATTCGGTCTCAAAACTTCCAAAATCCGCCACCAGAGGCGCTGGCGTCGCGCGCCATTGACAGGTTGTTGGACGGAATCTGTAATCGAAATTCATGAGTTGGGGATTCCGCCGCTAGATGGCGCTGTCAAACCAAACGGAATCTGTGTGTCATTGGACACCTGTCATGCGTCATTGGGCATCTCACGCATAGATGGCGTTACACGTCATCTGTCATACGTCATTGGACACCTGTCATTGATGGGTTGAGCATCTCGCGCATAGATGGCGCCGATTTGTTTGGCGCTGTACAAACCAAACGGAATCTATGTGTCATTGGACAGCTGCCATTGATGGGTTGGGCATCTCGCGCATAGATGGCGCCGATGTCGCACCTGTCTGGTGTTGGCGTGGATTACGGGGGGCATTCAGAACGTGTATACAGGGGTGCATCGAAAAATAGCGGATCGATGGACCGACGGTATATCGTTAAATCGTATATAGCAAGGCGTGACCTAAATAGCGTGGTGGGCTCCTCTGGTCGGTCGGTCGGTCGGTCAGAATGTCTCATAACCTGTATACGATGTACTGTTATTATTATACAGGATGATACCGTTCAAAATGAAACTTTATGTAGTAGAATGATGGTGGGGGGGTGGGGAGTCGAAGGAACCGACTGTTTTTTTTTGTTTGACAACAGGCTGAATACGAAATAAACATAGCTTTCTGAAAAATGTATTTTTTAATGATATACAGATACAAGTTTAGATAACAGAGTTTTTAGTTGATGTAACAAATCCTCGCTGGGGCATGGTACTCCAAATAGAGTCCAATGAAATGGTCCGGTCGCAACAACTTTTCTTGTAAATTCATTAAATTTATAGTAAGTTGCGTGACGGAAAAAGTAAATATGGCCATCAATCCATCGAAATGCGAGAGAAATATCTCCAGGTAATTCAGGAAATATGTCTCTTATCCGTCCTCTGTTCAACACATCAGTAAAATCGTTAGAAAATTCTATATATGACATATTATTATAAAAGGTATAGGACCGTCCTGCGTTTGATTGAAAAATAGCATTGATTCGAGCCCTATCGGGTATATCAATTGAAAAATTATCAAGAAATTTAATGGTAGGGAATGATGCTGAGAAATAGTTGTTTGGAGACACAATGGTAATCAAGTCACCGTTTGTTGATTGGAAAATATGTTGTAAAGTGTATTGACGTAATTCTGTAGGAACATAATCGACAAGAAGTTCAGGCTGAGATGGGATAATCATTTCGTTTAAGTCTAGTTTCCATATAAACATATCATGTGCAATATATAATCAGTAATTTGAAAACTCTGGAGCAATGGCTAAAAACATAAAATCTGGAATAATATCACACAAATTTTTGAGGATCGGCTGCTTACGAGTTGTAGATCTTATAGTTGTTGTTGTTTTTGGTATTGCTGATGCGGTGGTAGACTTTGGGATTGAATCATATTTGTTTTTTCTTCCATATAGATATTGTACTGCATTTATATCATCAACATCTAGACCACGAATCTCATGCTGATAGAAGGCAAACATAATAGCATTCGGAGAAGCACTATGTGCTATGCCGAGGGCATGTCCAATTTCATGAACCAACACCATAAGAAAACTAGTTTGATTTTTGGGTATATTAGGATTATTCCCAAAATACCAGCGTTCATTTATATCTAAATGGATTTCTCTACAGGTGCCGCTAGAGTCAGGAAAGTATGCATGTCCTAAAACGCCGCCAGCATCATCTAATGTCAATGGACATTCATCATTACCCATACAGTTTGCGCTAAAATAATGAGTCTTGCTAACCATGGTTATAGTAATATCAGGAGGATATAGAGTGGGATTGGTAACCATTGTAAATGTTAAGTTTGAAACATTTTGCCACATCTGAAAAGCCATTTCTGCATCTTTTTGGGCCGCAGGTGTGTTTCGAGGGAAATACCATTTCAGGTCATGTTTCCGAAATGGAAAACTTGCTCTAAATTCAGCATCACTGTATTGACAACGCGGACGATTCATAAATTCAATTGTTGCATTATTCAACAATCCATCCACTGGTAAATTATACTTTTCTTGCAAGTTAGTTAGCAAAGTAGAGAGATCTGTTGTATTATCGATGATATGTTCATATTGAGTTAGGTATACTATAGCGTCTTTTTCGGAGAAATCGTTGCAAAGCACGTATGTGAAAGTTGAAATAAAAAATAATACGTCTACCCACATCAACATCTTGATAGAGAATGATGTCAAAAATCTCAGATAGCAAATATAAATTCGTTTACCCCCCCAATCAAAATCTTGACTGAAAAAAAATTAGGCAGCAAATATACAATAATCATACACGAATTTCTATATTTCTAAAATTCTACTCTCATGTGCAACTTGTAATTGGAATTTCCGCCGGACAAACGATACATTCATGTATTACTAAGAAATTATATAAAAAATACTGCAACCGCAATGAATGTTGTTTTCTCGATAAAAATGGTACTGAGAATATGATGCATATAATATGCATATTTACGATACAATTATCTCATGCACGCGTGTGTCATCTCAACTACGTACTTATATTGAGCGAGCGCATGCAGTTTTCTCGATAAAAATGGTACTGAGAATATGATGCATGTAATATGCATATTTACGATACAATTATCTCATGCACGCGTGTGTCATCTCTACTACGTACTTATATTGAGCGAGCGCATGCAATAGTCATCATTGTTTCACACTTAACGCACAACGCTGCAAGCTGCAACAACGACCGCAGTACAATTAGTGCTTCGAGAGAGACGAGAGAGCGAAAATTTTAAAAAAAGTAAGTGCTATTTTATTTAATATTTTTCTTTTTTATGTCTCTAAATGCAACTGTTTTTTTTTTCGTGTTATGCTTCAAAATAGTTAGACGACTCAATTTTTTTTATAGATGGATTTATCAAAAATTAATGCTGCGTCTTCGATTGTAGACCGCAAACCTATCAGAAAATTAAAGGACCTACCAGTCGGGACACCATTTGCAATCCAAGCAGCTAAAGTGGTCAAGTCGAAATTTGGGGAAGCCGTGCTACTAGATTTAGGACCGGAAGTGCTATTTCTACCACAGCGGGTGACGGAAACGTACCAGCCGGTCATCGACGAACTTTTTCACGGAAAATACTCGATCATCTTCCAAGGGGAAGTGGACGTAGGGAAAAGCCGACCGCTAGCATCATTCAAAATAGTGGAAAATTAGCAAAGCAGAGAACAGGAGGAGGACAGGGTGAGCATTTTTATATATTTTTGAGTAATGTGTTTGCTTGAAAAAAAAAATGTCGTCTTTTCAAATGTCTTCAAATAAGGTTAAAAAGATCATCAAACAAACAGACGGTGTTCTACTATCAATTGTTAGTCTACGGAAAATTTTATTTGATAATTTTACAATCAGAGACGCGGAAGTGTAGCTGAAACGAATAGAAAAACAAATTAGATTATGTAAACGGGTAATTCGTAGTAGAAGGCAAAATAAATTATCTGTAGGGACCTGTAGAAAAGTAGAAACAAATTTGGGGCATTTTAAACATTTTAGAAAGTTGATTTTAACTAGACATATTGGAGCAGGACTTCACTTAACATTGGGTCAGAGGGTTAGATGGGAAAATGTAGAATCGAGCTTTCAAAGTAGAATAAAAACCGGTTCCATAGCTAATTTGCGTCATAAGGACTTGAATCAATTTTTAGCAGATTGTGTAGTTGTTTTTAAAAGGAAAATTAGGAATATTTTGAACACCCATTGTGCGCTCAAAGTAAATACAACATTTTGCGGGGAGTTTATTAGGAAATCGGGGGATAATGAAATTTTGGGAATTAAATATATTAATACTAAAAATCATATTATTGATACATCAACTCAAATAGACGAGTGGTTTAAGATATATGTTAAAGATAAACTTTTAAACGAATTATCGGAATTTGCTGAAAAAGATTCGGGATTTGCGTTAAATAAAATTATTTCCTTAGTTGTTAATATCAGTAAATATCAATTGGGAAACGGTTCATCTTATATTAGACTACCAGAACCGATTATAAAGAAAAATGCTTGTATAAACATTAAAAATATAGATCAAAATTGCTTTTACTGGGCCATTGTAAGCGCTCTTCGGACTCCTAGCAAAAAAAGACATGCAGAACTAACCTCCTCATATCCACACTTTACTGACGTTTTACAAACAGAAAATTTAGATAGTCCTATGCTGCTAACAAAAATTTCAAAATTTGAAAAGATGAATAACATTTCAGTCAATGTTTACGCTTTAGAATTGATCGAAACAGAAAAAAAAATCATTTTACATAGTAGTACCAGCAAGATTAACGGAAAATAAACGGGATACGCATGTTAATTTACTTTTAGCTCAAAATAAATATTATCCGCGTTTAAATGATTATGATGCTCCTCCACCAGCGCCAGCAAATGAAGATAATGATTCAATCGATGAAATTAAATATCACTATTGTTGGATTAAAAATCTTTCGCGTCTTATTAGTAGCCAGTTAAATAAACATCGTGAGAAAAAATTTATTTGCGATAGATGTCTGAACTATTTCCATCAGCAAAATAAATTAGTTGAACATGAAAAACTGTGTTCTAAATTTAATAAATATAAAATTAACCTTCCTAAAGAGAGCTGCGTTGAATTTAAAAACTTTACATACCAACAAAATACTCCTTTTGTTGTTTATGCAGATTTTGAATGTCAATTAGAAAATCATAAAGAAAGTAGCGTCGTAAATTTAACTAAAACCATAAAATATCAAAAACACGTTCCGTATAGTGTTGGTTTCTATGTAAAATGCAGCTATGATGATAGCCTTTCTTATTTCGAGAGCTATCGAGGTGCAGATTGTATGGATTGGTTTGCAAATCGTATAGTATGGCTGGTGTTGCGCAATTTGTAAACTCAAAAATAAAAACAAGCGTACCTATGATTGAAAAATTAGACACATGTAAGGCAACATCATGTCATATTTGCGGTAAGAGATTTTCAAAAACAAAAAAAGACATAATCGTTAGAGATCACAACCATTTCAGTGGAGAGTTCAGAGGTTACGCACACCAAGCATGCAATCTGAACTTTAGAAAATTGTTTGTTGTGCCGGTTATATTCCATAATTTAAGTGGGTACGATAGTCACTTTATGATTTCGAATTTATGTAAAAAAGGTCGCTTAAGTCTACTTCCCATCAACAAAGATAAATACATCTCCTTTACGCTGCACTCAGATGAAAATAACATTAAATTGCGGTTTATAGACTCTTTTCGATTTATGGGGGCGTCTCTTGATGAATTAGCTGCAATTTTAGCAGAATCAGAAAAGAAAATTTTACAAAGGGAATTTCAAAATTTAGATGAAGATAAATTCAAATTATTAACACAGAAAGGAGTTTTCTGTTACGATTACATTGATTCGTTGAAAAAATTAAATGAAACGACTTTGCCCCCAATTGAAAAATTTTACAATAAATTAAACGATGAAAGTGTAAGTGACGAGAAGTATGCTCATGCGCAATCTGTTTGGCAACAGTTTAACATTAAAACATTAGGAGAGTATTCTGATATATATTTAAAAACAGATATTCTGCTTCTTGCCGACGTTTTTGAGCAATTGCGTAAAAAATGTTTCTCCACCTATGGTCTGGATCCTGCGTGGTACTATACAATGCCCGGATATACGTGGGACTGTATGCTCAAATACACTGGGTGTAAGTTAGAACTACTAAAGGATCTAGATATGGTGATGTTTTACGAAAATGCTATAAGAGGTGGAATTTCGGTGTGTGGCAACCGATTTTCGGAGGCCAACAATAAATATATGCCCGAATATGATCCTGAAAAGCCGTCCAAGTACCTTATGTACCTGGATGTGAATAGCTTATATGGGAATGCTATGCAGCAACCCTTACCCTACGGAGGGTTCAAATGGGTAGATGATGTAACATCGTTTGATGTGATGTCAATACCCGACGACTCTGACGTAGGGTACGTGCTACAAGTCGATCTATCGTACCCACAAGAACTGCACGATAAACACAAAGATTTTCCGTTTGCGGCAGAACGTAGCGTACCACCCAGCGACGGCGGGGTAAAATTGCCGAAATTAATGGCAACACTTACGGATAAAAAAGAGTACACGGTTCACTATAAAAATTTAAAACAAATGCTAGCTAATGGGTTAAAGTTAACGAAAATCCATAAAATTTTACAATTTAAACAAGCAGCCTGGCTGAAACCCTACATCGAGTTGAATACTCGATGTAGAGCTGCAGCCCGGAATGATTTCGAAAAAAATCTTTTTAAATTAATGAATAATGCAGTATTCGGTAAGACCATGGAAAATATACGTAAGCACCGCGTATGTAAAATCGTTAAATCTTGGGGTGGTCGCTATGGGGCAGCAAACTTGATTTCGAGTTTTCGGTTCCACAGTCGCACAATTTTAGAGGAAAATCTGGTGGTTATCGAATTGAACAAGGCTGAAATAACGTTTAACAAACCTCTGTATGTAGGGCAGGCAATTCTAGACCTATCGAAACTAGTCATGTACGATTTTCATTACACCTATATGCTACCAAAAATGGGTGCAGAAAGGTGTAAGCTCATGTACATGGACACAGACAGTTTTATCTACGAATTGCAATGTGAGGATGCATATGAGGAGATCATTAAAGCTGATTCCAGTAAATTTGATACTTCGGATTATCCTGAAAATAACATATATAAAATACTGCGTAAGAACAAAAAGGTGCCGG